ATATATATATATACTTATATACCTACAAATACATACGCGAATAGTCGAGCAATTTTATGCCTAGATTTAATTAAGGAAAGGACTGAGGATACCTTAACTCAAAATGTGTCGTCAAACCTGCAGAAAGATCTGAAGGGAACAAGACAGAAGGAATCGCGACAAAAACTTACGTAGCCATACATTCGCAAAAATACCGCGAAATTGACGCGAATTACGTCTAGCTTGTCTAGCGATAATTAATGACAATAAGGTAACTGGTGTAACTGCCGTTTGAAATCGAGACAGTGCGGCAGGATTAGTGGTGTCATCTAACGGGGAAAAAGTAGAGTTTACGCAACTCAGTCGGTACGATTGATTCTATATATGTAGATACTGCAGATAGAAACTTGAAAATGATCATTCGGTTTTTTTCAGAACCAATTGACTTATCAGCTGATGGAAATTTGTGTGCATTTCATATTTTCGAGATTCGTCAACAGATGACGAGAGCTGCTGGCGAAATGTCAAAAGCGTCTTCCTAACCTCAAACCTCTAGTGCATTTTCAGCGATTATTCGAACTCATCAAGAAAGGCCACTAGGACGAAGTCAAAATTATTTAAAACTGTATTAAAAAATTAGGAAAAATAATTTGAGAATTATAACATATTCAGTTTTAACATTCGGGTATCATGTAATTTCAAGGAAAAGTTAAAGACATAAAATCATCAACTAGTAAAAGTACTTAAAAAATCCTCTCAAGTGTATTCTTGCATTTAATTACAAGAATCTTCTGTCAATGGAAAGCGAGATGCAACATAATTATGACATTTTGTACAATTATAAGTTTTTTGTAGAATTTAAATTTTAATCTGCCTTCACATTGACACTATTGATGAAAGAGGAACACACGTTGAAAAGAACGATGGAGAATACTCAGTCGCTATACATTAGTCTCTTTAGCGAGGAAAAGAATGACGTCTTAAAGGAGGTAATACAATAATGTGTGTCCTTAGTTTTGTCTGACGTCGTGTAACAATTTCATTTTGTATTAAGCTGTTGCATGCCTGTGTCGACGAGATCTGCGGTCGCCCAGGACCATCATATTGCAAATTCGCCAACAGCATGGATTGGAGCAGAGCGGAGTACGAAGGAGTTTACAAACTGATATCATCGTTATTACGAAATCCTGCCTCTCTCTATATGATAGAGGAAAAGGTATATCTGCTGAGAAACTGGTTATCAAACTAAGGATACTTTCCTTAACATAAAGTTGATATAAGTGTCTTTTTATTTTTGTTACTTACTGAATGTCAAGAGAGATAGAATGTCGACTTGTAAGATTAACTTTAATCTCAGTCCAGTTCTTTTTATCTTTTTTTAAGAATTAAAAAAAGAGTAAACAGTAAGTTAAATGAGATTAAAGTTTATTTTACATTGATGAAATCAGGTGAAAGGAGCAATCAACGTGGTGCTACATGCTTTGAAGCATTTTTTGATTGGTCAATTAATAAATTCTTTCTGATTAGGCAATCAAATGCTTCAAAGCATTTGTAGTGAGACTTTGACCTTAACATTGACAAACAAGTATATGATTACTCTATTATACTGAGTCCATGTGACTATTTTCCTTTCAGGAATGTCAATCAACACAAATATCTTTATATTTATTGAATAACAAAGAACGACGTGTCAATTATATCTTCTAAAAAGAAAATAGCTTGTCTCTTGCTGGAAAACATCTTTTGCTTTTGTTGTTGTGTATCATATGTCATATTTACTTGGAGTATAAAGAAGTCCCTATAGAATTTTTAAAATTTATTTTAATTATAAATCTACTATGATTCTATTTGAACTCTTTTGTACTCCAAATAAATTTTATTGGAAAATGAATTTTCCAGATGCCACAAGAATACCATGAGTTACCCGAGCAAGTGCAACAAAACATTCTTACTTGCTTGAAAGTACGCAGGGAACAATTGACTGACGCTTTATTGCGGGAACATTACAAAAGAAAATTGCCAACCGTGATTGATCACGATTGGAGATTGAAGGTATCATGCTTGATAATCATTCTATCTACTTACAATGGATTATATTCTTAGCTTATGTCATTACATTTCTTTACAGTTGGTAATGGGTTCGAGCAAAATTGCCTCGTTAAGAGAATCTCTACTGCAGTTAGATCTCATAATAGAAGATAAGGGATCTCGGCGTATCATAAATTTGGAATTGAATAAAGATGAGTTAGATACGATAATAAACAGTTTAGAAAAGCTAGTATAAGTTTTGATATTTTTACAAAGAAAAAGAAATGTATATAATTCTTATATATGTATTACAACACGTACTAATTATAAGTTGTGCAGGACACGGGTTCCGTGATGAAATAAATACTCGCTGTTGTTACACTTTGTTTCACAGTTTATTATAGGTTATAGATAAATGTAGAATAGTTTAGTTACTATTATAATTGCTGATCGAAGATACTGGAGACTGTATTTTCGCATCTGAGGCGGTCTCGATTCAAAGATCTCATTCACAATTTTGTAGTCTCCGGCGCAAAATAAATAAACGAGCGAGGTTTGCTTCGACGGCGCCTCAGAGTGATAACAATCACTAGAGAAATGGTATGGGTGCACGGATATTATCAGTCTCGATTCGCTCGTGAAGAATTTCGATAAAAAGTTCGCTCTCGTCGCCAAAACGTGTCATCCTATTAAGAAGACAATGAATCTTTTTTTTTTTCTTTTCGTTGTAAAGATTTTTACGGACAGATATATTTAATGAATGGTTTTACTATACAACTTTTAACTTTACTTCTTTCCCGCCCTTATACGTAAATATGTATGTAATCGCTTAGAAATTAATGCCGGACACGAGTGAAGACTCGATCCTTTACCTCTCTATCGCTCGGCGATATTACCGGATATCGGAGCGTCTCACACGTGTATAATGCGCTTCTCGTTTACAACTTTATGATCTATGCTACGCGATCTTAATAAAAAAAGCTTCTCGTAAGATAATTACTCTTTTACTTCTGGAGATCCGTATAAACGTAGAAACGTAGAAATATCCGTATGAAAACTTGACAAAGGTTCGGAGGTCCGTTCCGGAGTGGTAAATTGTGCATGTCTCGTAAATTGTAATTAGGCGATACTTTTTAATGATTATCATAAAAATTACGATAGGCTTCGTCATAAGTGTTCTCTCTCGTATGGAGAAGTAGCAATGTTTCGAACAAACGCCGAATTTACACAAACGCATTCTCTCTATAGTCTAGATTAATATATCACTTACATCTCGTTTTTTTTTTCGACTTACTGTATATACTTTATCTCGTATGTTCCATGGTACGTACGTATACGCGGTGTAAATGTCCCTCATTGCATGTATTGGTGTATAATGTGTTTTTCCTCGTGTTCTCGCAGCGCCTTTGTGCCCGCGCCTATCAAAATTATGTTAAAAATGTGCAGTTCCTCGTTACAACGTAAAACGTCTCGATTGTACAGATGTAAACGGAAAAAGGAAAACCAAGGACCGCGAAGGAAATACGAGCGAAACAATGTGCCGGGTGCCCTCGAAGTCGCCGATATGAGTGCGAAACTTTGTCGCGTGTAAATCTTTTTCCGCTTCCTTCTTCCACTTTTCTCGCTCGTGTATTTCCATCTTTTTCCTGTTCTCACCATGGCGAAGACGCATCTCTCTCTCGTTTCCGCGCACTATCATTCTCTTTCCCCTTTCACACCGTCAATCGCTATATCACACACAGCCTGCCCTCTCGATTTCTTCCTCTATATTTCGGCTTTCTCTTTCTCTCTCTTTCTCTCATTCTCTTTCATGCTCTCTCTTTCTTTCTGTCGCTTTCATTCTCGTTCACACTCTTTCGCTCTCTCATAGAGTACAATAGTTATGTAATTACGGGAGGGCGCCATCCAATGAGTATTTCCTCTGGAATGCGCGACGAACGATCCTATCATCTTGACGATCTCAATCGCTTTTATCGCTTGTCCGTCGCGCGATGTTCGAGCATTAGACTTTACTTCAGTAACAGTTAATGATACTTAAAAAATTTCTACACAGCAGGGACGATCATTGTAACTCGCGGTTAGACACAAGCCGAAAGCTTAATTTCGACGCCTTGAAAGCCTTCCCGCGCGCCACAAGGAATAAAACGAGCATCATTTAATCTGTGAAAGAGACCGTGCCACGTAACGTTATGTGTCCTCCTCCAGAATACGTTTCACGTAATGTATGACCTCATGAACGTAATAATAGTTCTTGAATAAACGATCATAAACTTTCACGCACGTATTTTCGTTTGCCCTGCTGTTAAACATCATCTAATAATTAATAGGCCTACTATAGAGTCTGTATGCTCTCGCGATGCCGCGGTCGTCGTTATTATCGTCATCATCGTCGTCGTCGTCGCCCCGTTTTCCCCTTTTGCTGCTCGTAACGAAAGAACGTTATTTTCTGTTGCAGGAATGGTCCAAATATACATATCTATATAATATACTTTTTTGGTTTTAACGAGAGAAAAGAACTTTCTTCTTTCCAAAATACAATTCGATTAGTGGCGCTTATTCGTTTATGTTGTTTTGGTGGTGCGCGTCAGCGATGATTTCCTGAAAAAGAAAAAAAGATGAATTGTCTATTTAAGTGCGAATCGATGTTGCAAAAATTTTATGAAAAAAAAAAAAGAATACTTACATTCGTGTTGCATTCGATAGCTTCGTTCACTGCCGCCGCGACTGCTTTATCACTTATGTCGATCTCCTCGATAGCCTTTGGAGAAAAAGAGAACAAAAGCATTAATGGCGTTTATGACTGCTTAGTCACTGTAAAAAGGTGCAATCGCAGTATTAATGATCAGATGGCCCCTCGCTCATTAATCTTCCTCGGTCAGTATACTTGATAATGACCTTCAGATTCATTTATGCTCATCGAACGTAAATGATCTCTTGGCGATCATCATGCATTTATAAAAAATATCAAAATTATACTAATTTATAAGCAACTCATTATTTAAACTGTCTAATCAATTTTCATCTGATAATTATCAGAGATATATTACTACATGTCAAGATATATTATTATATACTTCATTGCTTTATTAATTATCGACAAAATATTAATGATTATTGAATTGAGAATTTGTTAATATAGATTTTTTTTCAAGACAAAGATTCTACTACTGTATTTTAACTCTTCATAATGTATAATTTAACAATAATATTCTCATTTCATTGTCATCATCCTTCAACTTTCTCATTAAAGCACTTCGTAAATGTACATAAGTAAAATGTCCAGTCACAAAGCAAATAAATGATAAAGAGAGTTGTTGAGACTCTTCTCGAAACGGTCGATCGATACTATCCCGTGCATCATCGACAATGACTCACTCCAGGCTAATAATAGCACGGACGTAGTATACGTGATTATAATCTTCAGACTATGGCTAGACTGAAAATTATATATATCCATATATATATATATATTTATGAGTATGTATACCTTGGTGACCGAAGCGACGTCCTCAGTGATAGCCGGTGCTGTTGGCGGGGAGGCGGGTGCTTCGGTCGGGACAGCCGGTGGTGCAACTTTGGGAGCCTCATCGGCACTCTCTGTCGTGCTAGCATCGTGGGTGACGTTGTTTTCTACTGGCGCCTCAACTTCCGGAGCGTTCTGTAAAATACAAGTCTCTTCGTTATGTGATCGTCATGTATTCGTTCATTCATCATTTCTTTTTTTCTTCAAGTCCAAATCCCAGCATGCTGTAACGAGGACAAAGGAAGACGTAATACCGATTCTGCCGAATTTCGTTTATAAAGAAAACAATATTTCTTCCCTTCTTGTGAATCATCAGATTTAAACGAATATCATAAATGAATCATCACGAGATGATTATGTTGCGGTTCAAGTAGGAGATTGCAAATATCCTGAGATTATTTAGGAATAGAACTCAAAGTAGAATTTTTGTCTCCTCAAAATGAGATAACTTTGACCTCGGGATAATTTTGGCTCAAATTAAAAAAAAAGCTATTTTTAAAAAATATATGTATGTCCAAAATTAAAAAACATAAGATGTCTTAAAACGTCTTATATCTCAATTTTTACATGTATGTCGTTTGGGTATCAAAATTTGAGCCGAAGTTACTCCACTTTACAACATATAAATAAGTAAGAAAATATGCAGTGATTTACAATAGAAACGGAATTTTCTAGATAAATTGTTACACTAACATACTAACACTAAAAATATCTTTGATATAAACATATTGATATAAACAGGTTAAAGTGTATTTCTAAATTTAGCCTGTGTTTTAGTGCGCCTGGACAATCGCGATGACTATTACCTCCTCGCTTGAAGCGCAGCATACGACAAAATGCCTCAGCAGAATCGTTTCGTCATGCTTCGGGCAGCGCAAAGAATTGAAAATCCCGCTGGCGAACCCTCAGATAAGAAAACTCGGCATGCGCAAGTACAAGATGCTTACGATACAACAGATGCAAATACAGCACGACAGTAAGTATTGAGCTCTTCTAATGAGCACGTCTATCAAAAATATCTAAAACGCCAGCTACCACGCGCGTATCATTAGATCAACTGCTTTTACGTCTATCAATGAGATTCACGCTAGAGGCACCTCTAATTTATTCGAGCGTCTATGTTATTATTAGTATAAGAGAGCGTTCGATATGAAAAGATTCAAAATCTACGGAAATGACATCAACTGACGCGGCAGCGCGAATGATCTGCTATTCGCCGCGTCATAAAAAGTATTCTACTGCAACGCATTGATTTTAATCATATGAAAGGTCGTGTTAATATTATCAAGAAAACCAAGAGGCAAACAACACAGGTGGCAATAGGTAGTCATGGTAATATACATATGGTCTTTTAAAAAAATGGAGAGTTGGGCGGAAGCGTCGGAGGACATCGAATAGCAGAGTAAGGCTTGTGTTAATCACGTTCGACAGAACGAAGGATGCACACGAAACGAGACCCTCAGGCGTTGAAACACAACGGGGACGCATCGGGATGGAAAATGGATTTAGCGGATTCTCTGAGGACTGACCGGCTCCGGTCGTGCATCGACACACCCAAACAGCAAAGTATAATTTTGTTCTCGAAACGAGAATTATTTAAGGTCTCCCCCGGACTGTCAGTCTCCTGTCACTCGATGTTACCCTTCGTCGAGAGAACGGAGCGGAAAGATGAGATTGTGCGCTGGATATGAAAAAAAGAGATGAGGGAGTGAAGGTTTTTGGAGTTCAAAATACGTGTTCGATAATTTTTGAACAGAGAGCATTGGAGGAATTCTGGAAAGAGAGTGGAGATCGGGAGAGCCGGTATTTTCATTTTCAGGCTATAAGACCACAGAGACAGTACTGTGCGAACCGTACGACGAAGATATACGTGGAACGAGGCGCCCGCCAAAGAATTTTGGCCGGCTGCATTCATGCCAGGAGGTTGTGTTGCATATTAGTCACCTGGTGATGCTCCTTGGCGGCAGTCGACGGGATGGAGTTCGACAACTGACACGACAAGGCCTCTTCCTGGCTTTCGGTCTTCGCTACGCACTCGGTCGCCAGTCTCTCCTTCAACTCAATGTTCGATTGATCACATGACATCGTCAGCGGTTCGCTCAGCAACATCGATTGTTCACGATTGCTGCTGTCGTCTTCGTCATATGAGGGAATTTGTGAGCGATCTTTCGTGGCGGTTTCGGTCGCGATGCCGGATGTGACACTGGACTGTTGGAAGTTAGGACTTAAGGGCGGCGTGAGGAGTGTCTCTGTCGGGTCTCTTGGGTTGGCTGCGTGCTCGACGGGAGCTGGTGGTAATTCAGCTACGGACATGTTCGCGGGAGGGATCAATAATAATGGACAAGAGAGTTCTTCCGGTGGTAAAGGATAATCGAAGGAATCTAAGCTCTGCGTCCCCGTGTCTTCAGGTGCCGGTGGTAGATCTTCCAAAGAGATAGGTACGCTTTCGGGTTCGGGCGAGAGAGCTAGCGTTTGAGGTTCACTCAAGTGCTTTTCTGAAAGGGAACACGTCGGAGCGTCTGACGGCATTGATTCTATATCATCTAAGGGACAGAATTCTGGCGATGTTATGCGATCCTTTGATGAAAGAAGACACCTTTTGATCTCCTCGGTTTGCTCAAGTTGCAAAGAGGATGTCGTAAACGGTTCTGTCTCAACGACTGAAGTAGATACCGCGGTAGGTTTTTCTTTTTTGCTAACAATTGGTTCTGTTTCAATTGCACTTGTATTTTGAAGCTCAAATGTTTGAGGGCTAAATGCGGTTAAATCTTCAGGCGGACATGGCAGCATATCTTCAATTTCACTGACTGCTTCCATTTCATTTTTCATATCAGACGTGACAAATTCAGTTAATGGCTCAACTGTCGCGTTTTCCGGAACAAACATATCCTCCAATTCTTCTGAAATCAAGGTTTCTTCTGTAGGCAACGCAGTGTCCGATTCAAGCTCAATCTCCAGTTTCTCTTCGTCAGTTTCGGGAATCACCTTGACGGATTCAGTGGTGTCGGTAAGCTCTTCTACACTGTCATCTTCTGGAATGATCAACGCAGGCCTGGCTTCTACCAAAATATCCTCCGAAACTGACAGCGGACCTTCCTCGGAATTTATAAATAACTCAATCGGCGAAGTTGTCAATGGGACTCCTTCTTCTTCCTTGATTTCTTTCAGCTTTGCATAATCGTGTTCGTATTCGATCGGTATTTCGCTCGATTGTTCCACAACTTCTACCACTGACGACTGCTCTAATTCCCTTGACGAGCTTTCGATCGACTTTGCGAAGAGTGTAGAACTAACTTCTGATAATTTCTCTGTATCAACAGACACACATTTTTCAATTGAAGGAAGATCCGAGTCTGATAATTTCTCAATTGATTTTATGTGCTGCGTTTCATCTGAAAGATTCTCTACATTTTCAGACGATAAATATTGTTTTACTGCCGGATAGGCGTCTTTTGTTTCAATCTCAGTCGACGATAATGTTTCAGCCTCGACTATATGTTCGACGTTAGACAGTACATTTATCTTCATCGAAACTTCACAGTTATTTATCTCGCTCTCTGTTTGACACTCCACGATCGGTGAAGCCTCATTCACAATTTTGCCCACCGCAACAATATCAGAAACTTTCTCTGCACCTTTACTCTGTGTATTTTTATCACATTCCATCGCAAGTGATGGAGTTTCTTTCGCCGAATTTGCCTCACTTTTCTGGCACTTAAATACTTTCTCCTTCATCGCAATGTCGCTATCTACTTCTAACACTTCTTCCTTATTATCCCAACTACTCCCTAACGTCTTCCCAATTTTTTTCGCAATATCTTGAGACGTCTCAACTTCGATCTCGGCCTCTACCACCGGCAGACACTCTACTTCCGCGAGAACAAAGGTCGCTTCCGTCGAGGGCAAGTTGTCGGTAGAAGAATCAAGTGATGTGGGGGACGCGACAGCGGTAGTGATGGATTCATTTGCGCGGTTCTCTTGGGGAAGAATATCCTCGCGAGACGACGGGTACATGTCGGGCGGTGGTGCCGGTGATGCCGGCGGTGTCGATTCCTCCTTATCGGCAGCCACGGCAGGCAGCTTGAGCGCCTCGGCCAGGGCTGTGGCGTTCGCCGCGGCCTGCCGAGCCTGCTGCAAAGGCGACGGATCTATGGGGGTCGGTGGTGGACTGGATGGAGGCAGGGATGGGAGGTCCTCACTGGCTTTCCTCTCAATGATAGACGGCGTCGCGACTGGTTGGACTCGGTAGACGGGGATCTCTACCGGGTCCGCTACGGAGTGACCACCGGCTGACTGACTGACCTCGACTACTTTTTTCTCGGCCTCGACTTTTTCGACCGCCTCCTCTTTCTTATCCTCGACGGACGGGACGGGAGTAAGGGCGGAGGGAGTGGGTTCCTTTTTCTTTTCCTCGACCGGACTAGCAGCTACGGCGGTTGCTGTTGGCGACGCTGCGGCAGCTTCTTCCTTCGGCTCGGCCGTGGCTGCTGCTGTCGGTGCGACTACCTGCTCGTCCGCTGAGGGACTGCTCGCCGCTGATTTCTCCTCCACCGGACTGCTCGTGGCGGCCGTTGCATTCTCTGCGTCTTCGCCACCCTGAGACAATCGAGAGAACACACCACTTTAGACATTTCGTACGACGCACCACACTCGCCTACCGCAGATATAAAAACTCTACATTTTAAGATATTAATTTATTTTATCTCATAGTTTCATAAAAATATCATTGCAATATTTCGTTACATTTATATCATAGAAACACATAAAGTGCACCGTTTGCACGAATACTCTTATAAACAGATAATTTAATTTTAAACAAATAATTTTTAGCACCTCGTTTATATGAATTAATAATAAAATGCAGAAATATAAATTTCGAGTAGAGAAATATTTATTATTCAACTATTTTTAGCGGACGATCGGCTCTAAATGAAAGGTGAGCTATGCCACGTGGATGAAGTGCGATGGAGAAAAATGTTGGTTCATTCGAGCGCGATATTATTTTTTTGTTCGTTGCGAGGGGTGGTCGCCGACGACTACAGCGCGCGTTCTCTCGTGCCAAGGGTGAGCTCCGAGCGACTCAAATGAAAACGAGGGTGAACAGCTTAATGATACATGTGGAGCGAAAGAGAGAAAAAGAGAACGAACGATGTGTAAAGAGCCGTACGTACCCCTGGTGCATACGAGGGCGGTAAAAAGAGGGTGCACAGTGGGGTACCGAGTTACCAATGTTCTCACCCTTTAGGAGCCGTATCAATCGTGTCACTGTGTC